ACTGCACTTTACGCCCAAATGCATATGCTATTACGCCAGACATTTTTCGCTACCATACCACAATTCGGAACCATTGTGGTATGCTAGCTGAATTGATAACGATACTCGTTGACCTCGTTCTATATCTCATTCGCTTCGCTATGTTCTTGTTTTGGTTATGGTTTGATCCAATATGTCTGTTCTATGTGCTATCTGTATGGTTGGACAAGGTTCTCATTTTAGGCTTGACTCAGCTTGTCTACTATTTAGGCTTACTCACTCTTTAACATACTTCAAGTCAAAACGATGAAAATATAAAGCATTTTTATTGTATTCATCTTCATTGTAATTTCTTTTGCCATGAATCTTTTTCCTACTGTTTTGTTAATTGGCTAGATTATTAGCTTCCTATTTGACTAATTAGCCACCAAGGTTGGTAACCGGATTGATAAACGAGTAGATGGACAGTTAGAAGCGGGAGGATCTTAGCGTTTGCTTTCTTGTCTTCATATCTTAGTGTGTTTGTATTCACAGTGCTTCTCTATAGAGATGTTTAGCACTAAGACAATAGATCCGATGTTCTGCCACAAATTCAGGCTAAAATCCAGTTTTATAGCAGTGGTTATTACCCTTTTGTCGATCTACTGTGAAGTACCAGGTACGTAATCCTTTGTTCTAGTAGCCATAAGTCAGCCTAAGTGGCAGTCTGAATTTAAATTTATAAGAGTTTTAAGAGGCTATCACAAATTCTAAATTATGCTCTCCAAACTTATTAAATTTAATATAAGATGTATTCATCATATTTCGGTGATGAGGGACTAGTAGTAGAATTTACCCACAATGATATGAGTTGAGCTAACGTTTCCATTGAATTTCGCATTGCCTTGCTTTCTCAAAAGTTGTTCTCATCCAGGCACCAGTGGACTGCAGTTTTGACCTCGCATTGGTTTTATCAACACCCTCAGCGGGAGTCGAACCGTGACAGTGTAGAATGGGAGCTTGACACATTAACCACTCGACCACATTGCCACGAGTGCCCTTGGGTCACAGGGAAGATGTGAATTTCAAGGAAGACCAGTCATTTTGCCATATCATATTCTTTGGTGGGATTGTCGATAAGCAAATGTATATTTGCTATAACAATCGACTACGTTACTTATTTTTCGTGTTTGAGTAGAGTTTCAATACTACCAGTAAATCAGTAATATAAGATGTATTCACCCTATTTCGTTTAAGGTGATGATGGACTGGTAGAAGAATTTTCCCACAATGATATGAATAGAGCTGACGTTTTTATTGAATTTCATCTACAATCCCACCAAAAATATGGCAAAAGGCCTGGCCTTTCTTT